GAAATCGACAGATCAACAAGAGTGATTTCTAAGTGACGAAGAAGTTCAGCCGTATATTTTTTTTATGTTGTAGCCTGAAAAAGAGAAATTTTGCAAAACTTCAGTAAGTTGAGCAGTTTCGCCGACCACATATCTATTAGTATTTTGGAACTTGATTATCATGAAGACAGTTTTCATGAACACCTAACGTATCAGTAATTACACAGAAAGGTAGAATACTACTAAAATACAGTCTGGAGGTTGGCGGGGATTTATTTATCAATTTCAGACTGGTGTTCATCACGGACTGACATCAACTGGATAAACATTGGAAACCTGGGAGCACTGAACAGTCGTTTCCTCCCAAAATGGGACTCTTCAGTAGCACGCACCCATGAACCCTCCCCACCACGGATCAGACCCAGGACCTTTAGATCCCGTGGTCGTATATTACCATCGAGCCACTAAGGAAGAATCTAGTGTACTATATTTCCTACTTCTGTCACTTCACCATACAGCGCGAACTCCATCCAATGCCGTCGTTAGGTAACTCTTCTCATGTTCAGCTTGATTGACCCCACCGGTCACGACTTCTCATTGGAACTTCTGGAATCACCTCTGGAAGTGAGTCACCAACAAGCACTAGATTAATTCAGTTTGGAGGTCTGTGGGAATTTCTTGGTTAATTTCAGGTTGGCATTCATCATGAGCTGACATCAGTAGGAGAAAACTTGTAAACCTGCGAGCACTGAACAGTTCGTTTTCTCCGTGTATAGGATTCTTCCGTTGTGCACACTTATGATCTCGCCAGGGGTCTGATGCTTGTTGCTAAATTTTCAGTAATATTCACTCTCAATCCTTAACAGGATCAAATATGAATGAAATGACCTCCAATCGCCTCAATTTACAGAGAAACATTAGTATAAACCTCAAAGTTCAAGCTTTCAGACTTCAGGAAACCTGAGATGTAAGGATTTTTCTTTAGTGACAACAGTCATTACTTGTCCCCAGTGTCAAGCTTGCTGGTTACCATCAACTAGAAAACGTATTCCACAATTAAAGTTCTTGAGAAGAGTTCCCAGCACAAAATGAATTTTAATCGAACTTGCATACTTGAGTATTCTCCAGGCTTTGACATCTGTTCTTACTTCATAAAGAATAAACAGCAGATGAAGTCACTTAGCCTGGTGATAATAACAATAATAAAAGCTTTATTCCAAACAAGATTTGTGGTACAGTATGGAATTCTTGGCATGTAATCGTTCAACAGATTCATTCCCTGTACAATATCTTTGAGCGAAACAATCATTTCATTTGAATGATATTAATGATAACAGTAATAAAAGCCACAGTGTGAAACAGGTGCCTGGTATCACATTGTCATCTGGTTTGGAGTGGTGAATGAATCGAATATCGAGTGTAATTTTAGTGGTGGTGATTTATTCATCGAATATTAAAATCTGCAATTTGACATAGTTACCCAGGGAATGGTAAAATACTTTATTCTTTGCATTTATAAGCCCATCTATTAGTGTCGTATCGTTTATTCTTTGTTTTTGCAGTTAGCTTGAAAAACGGTAGTTTGAAACTATTTTAAAAATGTACAAGAGTACTTGACGTTTTTGCAGGACATATTTATTAGATTTAGACAAATTGAAGGGATGGATCTGATGAAATTAATTCCGTTGAAAATTTTTGGTGCCCCAAAGTTTAAGCAGGCTACCAGATCAGTCGTTTTTAGATTGAAACTTTCAAGAGTAAATACCGAACCTCAAAGGATATAGAAGAAAACTTACACTCATTCTAAGTTACAAATCTTCTCCACGATCACAGTTTAGATAAAGCAGAACTTTAAATTCAGAAGTGAATTTATCAAAAGGTTTCAGGAATTAGAAGAATAATTTTGAGCTTCATGGAATAAGACACTACTACTACCTACTACCAACTACCATACCATGAAAATATCTGTTTATAACATGTTGATATATATTTGAGACCGAGTTTATGATGCTCCTGTGTGACTGATGTCCCCTTTGTGGTTTTACAAATATGAATATTTCAGAGTAAGATATGGAGTTGATACCGTGACGAGCTGTCGCCATGAGGTAATTCAGCTGATATGTTTGAAATAAGTAGTTGAAGAAATAACTTATGTCATACCAGATTCCTTAGATCTGGTATATTATGAATAAAATTTTCATTTACACACTTTTTGTTTGCCTTACGGAGGATAAAAGTTCAATTCACTCTAATGTTCAGTGACGTACACTGATATCGAGTTAAATCTCTGGTTTTTTCACTTCAAGTGACCATCCTTACTTTGAACTGAAAGCGAAAGTGATGTTAAAGGCCAAAGTGATTGACTGAGTTTTTACATTCTGTGAAACTTTTATGATTTTCTAATGGATTCAATGTTACTTTTGTAGCTGGTTTCTGATCACACTGATACCACTGTGAGAGTAAGTAGTATGGCGAAATCCAAGATAATCATTATTATTTTGTAATAATAATAAAGCTGAAGAAAATGGACTTTTAAATAATGGAGAATATTTTTAGTTCAGGTGGATGGTCTTGGTTGTATTGTGTTCTCTGAAGTTAGTGCTGATGATATCGTCAAGCAAGACGATGAAAGCTTCACGATTAAACAACCCAGCTCATAGAACACAATATAACCAAGAAAATGGACTTCATTTGCAAAATTGATAGGTAGTAAGTGTATAAAATAAGCTCTTAGTTTAGGTGTGTGTGTGTGTCAATTTGAATCATTTGTTCATAGCCAGGCGTCAAATCATCTGTAAAAATTCTGCGTGATAACAAAAAACTAGTAAGTGCTGTTAATATGCTTCAAGTTAACATATTCCAGTAGTGTAAACAATGGATTGTAACATTACTTCGTTGGAAAAATTCATAGTGTCAAATAACTGATATGTGTATCAATTATAACTTCAAAATAGTAGGGAGATTGTTCATATTTTCCACTTATTAATCTACTGATGTGCGTCTCAGCTTTGAGAAACGACATCATACGAGGCATACAAAAGGTTGGATAATATCATGAACATCCTGAATGGCAGTATAGTACTAATTGACGATCTATGCCTGGCTATATCTTGTGTGAAGTCAAGAATCACTGATAAAGCTAGCTGAATTAGAATGAATCCAAACGGGGTCTATGAGAAGCATCAAAAGAGATAATCTGTTTTTATCGAAAGTTTAAGATGCGTACGCATTGTCATAAAATGTGAATTAGTAGCTAGCTCATTTATATGCATAAAAGTCTACATGCCTATTGGAAACGGAAACTTACCAACATTTGACTTATTTTCACGCAACTACGAATAAGTTACACTAAGTACCTATGAAATTTATAACCGATGATGATTACTGAATAAGACGTCAAATCGCAAAACTGACAAGACCTCGGAATGGATCACAATCCAGTACTCAGTAGTGACTTGCTTTTAGGTAGATTTCCAGAAATTCTAATTGAAGCTGTGGCTGGTAATTTTAACCAAGTCGGAATTGAGAAAGGATACCAGTTGATGACATGAAAATGATTAATGATCGCTCCATATTATGAACAGACAGAAGTTATAAAAAGTGGACCACTGTATGCAAACTCACCGGCCTAGTGGTGAAGTATAGTATATCAGGGCTTTATCCCTCATAAAGCCATGAGTTCACACTGCTAAGAAGTCATAGCCTGAAATGAAAAAAAACTGTCCAGTGCTTTCAAGCTTTTACTTTTCATTGGCTGATGTCCACCTGTGATAAAACTGGACATTACTTACAATCGCCAGAAAATATAATTGAGATTTACAACAGGTATTAATGATCAATACAGTCCCTAATGACTGGATCGCCGAGTAAAACATCACCTCATTTTTGTTCAGCATTCCATTTTTACTTCCAAAAGCACTCATTTTGAAGTTAAATTGTTCATGTATGACAAATTATTTTACGTAATAGATAGGAGGATTCACCGCAAAACCACATGAAGGGGTCAGTATTTAAATTTCAACGGCTTCTTCTCATCGGCTACAAAAGAGACTTAGTGAGGGTGTTATACCAAGGGGTAGACAGACTATACTCACAAGAAAATGTAAAAGAAGAATTCCAACTAATCGAACATTGTCTACTCAATAACGGTATAGAAATACGGGGAAAGCAAGAAGAAGAGAGTAAGATGTATTAGTGCCGAAAAGAAACCAGTGTTTCTTACATTGGCTTTCAAGGGAGATGATATTATGACAAGAATCAGCAGACGAATTAGGAGTGCACTTTCCAGGAACTATCCAGCTGCCAGACTTGCCTCACTGTATCAAACAACATGTGTAAATACACAATCCAAATTAGAAAATGTTCCATCTCTTGTTAACTTCTACTCTATTTACCAATTCACTTGTACATGCAACAGTAAGTACATAGGAAAACCAAATAGGTGGTTGTCTACCGGGATTTCCGAGTACATGTCAAAGAGTCTATGTCTCAGAGGTCGATTATCATTCAGCAGTACAATAGCTCGTCAGTTATGTGGTATAAGACACCAAGTAGATGTGATAAAATTCTTCATAGTAGTCAATGGACAAAAGATCTCGCGCCTACTCTGAACCGTCGAAGACGTCAATATCCGACGAGTTCAACTGGAACTGCGGGTTCTAAAGGAGACTGTTACCAACTTGCTAGTGATTTTAATTATCTACTCATCTAAATTTGCTTAATCCATGTTCATTACTAATAGACTAACCCTATTTGTCTGGTAAACAAACAGTTCTTTTCAAAGAACATTATTATGAACTGTAATCTGGATTATAAACATCCATCTACAAAAGCTTGATATTTAGTTGTCCGTTGGTGTGATACAGCTTCAGAAATCATTACAAAGAAAAATGGTCTAAGATAAACTGTCTTTCTCTTTCCATCCTCAATCAGCTTTCAAGTTTATAGAAGATAAATGCAATTACAGCAAACATTAATCATCTTGACAATTCTTATCAGTTTACCCAAACTGATAATAACTGTTAACCAAAAATGACTAACTCTTTACTCGTTATTACTGTTATAGTAGTAGTAGAAGTAGTAGTAGTAGTAGTAGTAGTAGTAGTAGTAGTAGTAGTAGTAGTAGTAGTAGTAGTAGTAGTAGTAGTAGTAGTAGTAGTAGTAGTAGTAGTAGTAGTAGTAGTAGTAGTAGTAGTAGTAGTAGTAACACCCCAATGACTTACTTCAGCGTTAAATTGCACTGCGCTGAGTTCACCTTACGCCTTTGCCCATTACAGCCCTTATTCTATCTTCTCAGTTTTAATCTTACTGAACTAAGAGATTTTAGGGAGGGAAAATCAACCTGGCAAAAAAGTAAGGAATTTAATAAATAATTTCAAAGCTGAAAATGAAAGGTAATTAAAATTAATTGAATTCCTTAACAATTGACTTAACTACTTATGCGCCATATTATATGTATATATCCGAGGAAATTAAATTATTCTACCCTTGTTGATGTTGTTGTTATTGTTATTGTTGCCATTGGTAACGTTACCAATGTTACATACCACTGGTATTATCCGATGATGGTATCATGAAATATGGTTGTTACCAGTATTCTACATCAATATCACAGGGATAATTTCCTTCGGTGAAAATGACTGAAACCTTCCGCTTCCCTCACCCTGACATCTTCAATGACAACAGGATTCTCAAAACACTTTAATAAATTATTTATTTATCTGCTTATTATTTTCAATTAAATAAAAATTATAATTAATCAACTTATGCTGAATCATTTTGTGGATATCAATGATAAAAGCCAGGAAAAGCAGGTAGGGAGTGAGAAGAATAGGGGAACACTCAAATTAATCAAATTTCCAGAAATTCATGCACATCCATTTTTTTCAGCTTCACCTTTTAGTGTTGATTCAGTCTCACTGAATGTCTTTACTTATTTTGATTGAGAAAATGATATGGTCTTCCTTCTTCACAGGATAATTTTGTTTATAAGCGGTTCATAATGACGTCTAAATCAGTAAAGAAGTAGTTATGAGAATGAATCGTATACTTAGGAGGGAATTACGGAGAAAACCTTCACTTGGATTTCTTTCCTGCCGGTCTGTATCAGCAAGGTATATCTGCTACCATTCGGAAACTAATGTAACCTTGGTGGATTGAATTCGCATCACCTAGTGCCAAAGTCAACACATTGCAGTGCCACATCACGTCATTGAAGGGTTACACTGTACACAGGACCAATGAACTTCAGTCAACAGTCTGGACATACAACTTAGCACTTACGTTGGTCACCATCTTTTGACCAAATAATTTACACGGCTGCAGTCATACTGAAAAACGATCAGTCAGCAACCGGGACTAGACAACATGGAATTACTCGCTTCCCAGCGACTAGTCAATGCATCTAATCCAGTCCTATAGAAGGTAGATTGTGTCAACGTCCCTGACTGAAGTAATGGGTAACATGGGTTTGAATTCCACAGGAAACATCAGTTCCCTCGAAGTTGCCAATCACCGTTGTTAACGAGTGTCAACAAGCACGGAACCTAGGTCAAGCAGGACTTGCGACCGATTACCTTCATCAAATTGACATTCGTTGAAGCTTAGTGACCACACTGCGAAATGATCGATAGAATTAGTTCAATACTCATATCTAGACAATATGAGATTCGTTATTCTTCAGTAACCACTCAAAGTACCTAATTTTCTTACTGCATGAAATGAGCTCAAAACAATGAGGGAACTTGAAGTTCTTTATGAATACAGATACAAGTTACAGATAAGTGACAACAAGTAAGAAACCTAACTAGGCTAACCAAGGCTTTCTCACGATTCCTTCTTACTATCTATCATTAGATACAATGTACATTATGGTTTGACAACATCTGAAACTTGATCGTTAAACTTCTGGGAGCATTAGTAACTTCATGGCCACATCATTTACCATCCAGTGACTGATTCACATAAAATTCAGTGCATTCATGTTAGTGTAACATTCTGAATAAAGGCATCAGTGAGTAACCAAGATATACCTAACTAGCAATATTTTTATGAGCTAACAGCAAGTTGTCACTACAGTCAACCTAAGAGGTCTACTCAATCTCCTCGTCAATATGAAACAGGTGGATGATAACTATTCACCATATAATAGTAATCCAACCAGATCCTTTTTTAATCTGAACCAGATTAGCACTTAAAACGGACAAGTGATTGATCAACCCCCAACTCAGATTTGTGTACGATCTTCAAATGATAAACTCTTGTGTGGCGCAGAAATGATAACAAACAGAAAAGTAACATATCCAGGAAATGTACTCGAATCCTTGATCGTTTCATGTGGTTTCAGTTTCAGATTCTTAGCTCTACTATGAAATGGTCATCCAGTTTTGTTCTCTAATCTAAGATTAGTCTATTTAAACCAAAATAAGGTTATCTAGCCAGGCAGCTGATATGTAAGGAAGTGGAGACAAGCATGTACTTTTTTCACAGTGAAACTGGACAAGACGCATTGAGCAACTGAAGTGAAACCGAACCGTCAAAACAGGTAACACATTTGGTATGTTATCCAATGAATCATAAACATAAGTCTACAGTATTACACAACTTCATTTATTAAAGGAAATACAACGATATGAAAAGCATGTTATTGAATTAACTTTCTCAGTAATATGTTGTTGCTAAGCAATGAAGCTCATCGATTGAGAGATCTCCAGGTCTAAAGCCTGTGAGTACAAGATTTGTGTGTCCCCAACTATATTAATAATTATCCTCATGATAGTATATTGTTATGTTTCACTTCCCAAAGTATGTTGAAATATATTGGTCAAATTGTTCATTCTGATTGTTGAGCTAAGCGACTCAACACATTGGTACATTATATCTCGTGCTAGCCTAAGTGAGCCAATAAGTTGAAAGTTCTACATCCAGCTTCCTCATGTTTTATACAGAACTTTAGGATAAAAAATACCACTGTTTGCTACATAGTTATCGAATAATGCTTATAATACAGTTCTATAAAGATTTGATATCAGTTAGAACCTTTTACTATTCACAATACCTTTGATTACTGTGGTGACATCACCTGTGGCAAGCTCAGAAAAGATAGCAAGTCTACTCGAAGTTGTACACATAACTTACTTACCTCTTCTCACAAGCGTGAAGCAAAGATCTGATCAGCATTATTCACTTCCAACAAACGACTTGTTCGATAAATGAAACCTGCTTCCTTCAGCGATTTTTGCGTAGGCAGGTAGTATCGTCAGCCCTAACACAATACACGTGGCTTATAGCAAACCGTACGATTATATATATATATATATATATATATATATATATATATATATATATATATATTATTATTATTATTATTATTATTATTATTATTAGTCCCTTGGGTTCCTAGTGGAACATAGGGCTTCAGTAGCACGCCTCCAGTGACCTCTGTTCTCTGAGATCTTTTGAACCTGGTCCCACGACAGCCCAGAAGCTCTCATTTCCTGCTTGCACGACCTCCTCCATGTCACCCTCGGACGTCCAACTCGTCGCTTCCCATCGGGATTCCACTCGAGGGCCTGACGCGTGATGTCCTCAGTCGGCCCTCTCAGTGCATGGCCAATCCATCTCCACTTCTTCCTGCATATTTGTTGCGTGATAGGTTCTTGGTTGGTTCGTCACCAGCCAGAGTTCCTTGTTGCTTATTCTTTCTGGCAATCCATCTGATCTTCAGTAGCGAGCCAGCGTAAGCAGTTGTTGATGAATGTCTGTAGTTTATTGGAAATACCTTTCGTGACGCGCCAAGTCTCTGAGGCATACAAGAGCACTGACTTGACGTTGGTGTTGAAAATCCGTATCTTGTTCCGCATGCTGAGTGCAGAAGATCTCCACACTGGTTTCAGGCTAATGAACGCCTGTCTTGCTTTTCCGATTCTGACTTTGACGTCCTCGTCCGTCCCGCCTGTAGTTGAAACAGTGCTTCCTAGATAAGTGAAGGAGGTTACTTCCTTTAAGTTTCTCCCGTTGATGGTGATTGGAGTTTGTTGTTGTTGTTGTTGATGGTGGTGGTGCGGTATCTTCATCACCTCTACCTCTGTCTTCTCTATATTCACCTGAAGTCCCGTCTTCGCTGCCTCTTCTGTCAACTTGTTAGTTTTTGCCTGCAGATCTTCAAGTTTATGTGACATCAGGCACAAGTCATCATTGGCGAAATCCAAGTCTTCTAGGTTCTTTTCCGTCGTCCAGTGTATCCCCCTCTTCTCGCTGCCTACTGTTTGCTGCATGATCCAGTCCACCACAATCAAGAATATCATGGGGGATAGTAGGCAACCTTGTTTCACTCCTGTCTTCACTTCAAAGGCATCACTGAGCTTCCCATTGTGGATTACTTGGCATGTGGCATCTTCATATAGTTGTTGAATGAGGCGGATAAAGGTTTGCGGTACTCCGTAGTATTGAAGCAGTTTCCAAATTACTTCTCGGTCGACGCTGTCAAAGGCCTTCTCAAAGTCGATGAAGTTGAGGTGGAGAGCTGATTGCCATTCTACGCTCTGTTCTATGATGATACGAAGCGTTGCAATTTGGTCTGCACATGATTTGTACTTCCTGAAGCCTGCCTGTTCTGGTCGTAGTTTTGAATCCAGTGCATCCCTTAACCTCTCCAGGATGATGCGGCTTAATATTTTACTTGCTGTGGGTGGACAGGAGAGTGATTCCGCGCCAGTTCTTGCAAGCACTGAGGTCTCCCTTCTTCGGCAGTTTGACAAGGTAACCCTTCTTCCAATCGTCAGGTACCTTCTCTTCCTTCCACACCTTCTGCAATAGTGGTGTGAGCATGGCCGCTGTTGTCTCTGCATCTGTTTTCAGTGCTTCTGGCGGTATTCCATCTGGTCCTGCTGCTTTCCCGCATTTCAGTAGCTTTATGGCGTTCAGGACTTCCATTTTCGTTGGGGGATTTATGTTCACTTGTAGTTCAGCGGCTGCAGGTGGTATTTCTGGACGAAGTGCAGGTGGTGGTGGTGGTCGATTCAAGAGCTTCTTGAAGTGGTCGGCCCATCGTTTCCTCTGTTTCTCTTCTTTTGTAATTAAATTTCCTTCTTCATCTTTTATTGGTTTCATCTGTGTTGGTCTCTTCCCTGATAGCAACCTGGTTATTTGATACAATGTCGTCAGGTCTCTGTCTCTCCTACCTCAGCAGCCTGTTCTGCTTCACTTGCCAGTGTTTCGTAGAAGTGTCTTTTGTCTCTCCGTGCACTCTTCTTTACTTCTTTGTTCAGTGT